TCTATTCCTTAAACAAGAAACATTAAGATCTACAGTTGGAAATCCTCCCTGCTGAAATCTCATCCTACTCTTTCCCACTCTGTTTCTCAGCTCTCAGCCAGTGTGTACAGACAAGGACTGTGCCTTGCACCCAACAGTTACTATATATGAAATACAAAGAGCACAAAGCATATCCAATCCGGCTGAAGACTCTGGATGAAGACTTTTATCCCACCTTACAGTGGGCAAACTATTTTTTCAATGGCTTATAATGTGGCCAAGTATAGACCTATGTACCAGTGCTGTGTGGTTTTGGGCCGTTTCCCAGTGGTTCAAACCAGAATGCTGCCAGGTTTTGACAGAGTGTTTTCAAGAATTCAGTACATGCAGAATGGTGCATCTTCCATTGTTTTATCCTTAGAAACATCTGAACCATTAAAAAAAAGAGAACAAACAACCATCCCCAAATCTGGGACAGAGAGATCATCCTGAAAAAACTGGAGCTCTACTAATTAGTTTGGAAAGCAGCAAAAAAAAAAGATCACCTTGTCTTACACGGGAAAGTGCCTGGCAACCTCTATTCAGTTTGATTATTCCATCTCCAAGAACAAAGGGGGAATAGCAAAAAGAAGCCTATGTAATAACCAAAAGAGCTGTGATCTAGAGTACACTCTTGGCTGTAGGATGAAAGTATGTTTTGTTTTCCTAAGCTGTGTTGTACAACTAGAAAGCTAAGGTGCCATGTCTCAAGTATTTGGGGATGACGTTACAAGAAAATATCTTTTGGTTATTAAACTGCACTAGGATTCTAAAGCAAGAAAAAATTCAGAATCTTTCCATACAACATCTCAAGAAGCAGCTTTATACTTATTTCAATGGAATGTCTTGTAGAAGGCTACATTTTCAGATCCAGTTCTCTGATCTACCTAATAAGCACTTTTGTACAAGAATGCTCTAAATACTTATATTTCTACCATTCAACATAACACTCAGTCTACCTACATATTTTTCTTCAGCAGTCTTTCAGGTTTATAAATTCACCTCTTTAACCTAGATCCACCCCCATTCTCCTCCACTTCTGCCAGCCAACCACCTCACTGTTCCATTCTTCAGTGAGACTCCTACGTGGCTGTCTGGCCTTGCAAACACTCATAAGAGCAGCCAGGTCTGTTATCCAGTTGTCTACGTAAGTGGTCACTGCACCGTGAAGAACTTGAAATAAATTCTCTGCACCCCATAGACTATTTCATATTCCAGTCAGACCACAAAGTGTGTGCTTGAAAGTACACGGAAAAAACGTTCCAGCAGAGTGGAATGAAGATGTGCCGTTAGCAGTTCCAGTATCGCACAGTGCCTGGCTCACATCAACGCGGCTTTTTCTTCCACCCACTTGCAATCCAGCCTGCAAATGCAACCCACAGCCTGGAGAAAAGAAGGCTCTGGGGAGCCTTCTGGCAGTCTTCCAGTACCTAAAAGGGGCTTGCAAGAGAGCTGTAGAGGGACCTTGACAGGAGCCTGTAGTGACAGGACAAGAGGGAGTGGCTTCCAACTGGAAGATTCTAAGGAAGAAATTTTTTCACTGTGAGGGTGGTGAGGCACTGGAACAGGCTGCACAGAGAAGCTCTGGATGCCCCATTCCTGGAAATGTTCGAGGACAGGCTTTGAGCAATCTAATGGAATTAGTGGAAGGCATCCTTACCCATGGCATGGGGATTAGAGTTAGATGAACTTAAAACATCCCTTTCTATCTGAATCACTCTAGAAGCCTATGACTCTTAAGTCAGTACTTTTTACTTCCAACATGAGAAGAAAAACATGTTGTGTTGACCACCAGATAAATGAAGCCCTGAACAACTGGAGTCATAATCCAGATGTATTAACTGACCTCCCTATGAAGAAAAGAAACCTGCAGTTCCAAATGTTTGACTGCAATTAGCAAAAAAAAAAACCACAAGAAAAGTTCTTTCTGCAGGTTTTATGGCAAAACAGGAATTATGTTTAAGGCAACTGAGTAGGACACTAGTGCATTCAAACAGAGTCATTGGAAGCTGGAAATTTCTTTCTTAAATGAAAATGACCAAGATGGTGCCTGCCAGAGGAACAGATGACTACACTGCTATGGGCCAGACAGAGCAATAAACACAGTTTCCAGCAATTTCAGAATCAGTCTTCCTGCACTCAGAAAAATAGATGTTGTTTGATGGAGAATAAAGCACAAGGTAAACAGCAAGGACACAATACTAAAGGAGGTAACTTGGGGTAGAAGATGTAGTCCAGTGATTCCCTGGTCAAGCAACAGAAATACTGACCAAAGGTTGGTGACCCAGTTAGACAGATACTAAGATATTATATACAACTAAAATATTTTACAGAGCAAAAAACTTCCTGCAGTAGCTAGAAAGAAAAAAAAAAAAAAAAGGAGGAGGGGAAGGGTGCAGAAAGACAGAGAAAGCATTTGCTAGGAGTGAAAAATTCAAAGTTTTCTAGCTGTTCAGTTATTTGAAAAGAGCATGTCACAAATTGGCATTTTTTTAACTGTTCAGAACAGCCCAATGAATTCCTGTTGTCTCTCTATAGGTATCTTCTTGGGCAAAACAAAAGGATATTACTAAGCTAATGGGGCTGGAAGAACCCATCAGCAAAAGTTCCCTTGGAACTGATTTACAGAATGAATGGGCAAATCAAAAACATGCAATTAGCAGCATGTGTCAGCCTTCTATATGATCCATAGAACTAAAAGCTTTTAAGATGTGCCAGCCTCAGGCTTCTTGCTCCTTAAGGCATGCATGCCATGAAAACAAGAGACTACCAAGCACCCATCATTACTGAAAATAGGGTATTTTAGTGATACTGGCATGACTAAAATGTAACTGCTGATCAGTGCCAATTAGCTAGAATAATCCTGTTAGCATTAGCTCAACTGTTCATTTATAAATCTCTGCAACACTAATTGTATTTGAAGCTCTTTTAACACTAACTCCTTTTGTGTGGTGCTGAAAGCCTTCAAAACACTCATCAATTGAACAGCTGATATAACAAACAATCCTTCTTTAACCCTTTGCAGTCTCAGTGCTATAAGAGTAGTTCTGCATATTAACTACATCATATATTGAACAAGTTTTTATTTGGTCATTTTTTATATATGGAATATTTTATTATATATGTACAATAAGCACTATTCTCTTGCCATAGCAAGAGCTGTATCTTACCAAATACTGAGTATTACTGATTGTTGTCAGTGTGTATCCCACTAAGAAAAGTGAAGAGAAAAACTCACTCCATCGCTATTGTTCTTTATCAAGATTGGAATTTAGATCACAACATCCATGCATCCATGCATTCATCTGTCCATTCATCCAAAATAAATTATATTATTTTTATTTATTGCTATTTAATTTGTACCAGAAGAGCATTTTGGTAGAAAATACTTAGCTGAACTGAATATAGCTGATAGTGTTGTTTCAAATTACTGGGCACTCTCATCAGCTCTGGACGAAGGTGTTGATCAAATTAAAGGGAAAATACAGAAAATGCAACAGAGATTTCATTAAATAAATTTATTTGTTAAAATAATTTAACTCCAAATACAACTGCTGAGTTTGCATTGAGTTCTATGTACAATTCTTGTTTTATTTGAAACATCAAGGTTTAAACAACTGACATTGTTACAAAACAAACTGTTGCCCCATTTTAAATTGCCAGTTGTATTAGAGCTCAACAATTAACTGTGAAATACATTAATTCACCCCTAGGAAACTCCAAATCAACAGCGTTAAATCTGACTCCAGAACCCACTTCAGTCTTTCTTCAAACCCTGATCAAGAATTAACAGATGCACAACAATGCAGATAAAAGCCTCCTGCAGTTGTCAAACATTTGCATTTGTTGTGGAGTTTCACAATTAAAGCCTAACCAGTGCTTTGATGGCACACTGGTAAAAAAAAAAAATAAAAAATTAAAAACAAACATGCACAAAACCCCCCAACCAAATGGCTGACATCTTTAGGTAACATTCTATACAGGAAAGCAAATACCAGTAGTTTTCCCACAGAAAAGTAATGGCAACTGTAGCACTGGGGTTAGGGAGAGGCTAGAATCAGAACAGAAAATGTCACCAAATTTCTTTTTTTGATGCTCTGAAGGGGTGGGCAGGGGGATGGGCACAACAGAAGAATCCCAAACAAAATCCAATGCAAGTCATATTTAACACTCTTGATCTGATTCTGGTTGGTTTGCTTTGAATTATTTTTTGTGTATTTTTAAGGGAAAGAGGAAACAGTTGCTCTCACTATCATAGCTTAAAAGAATAAAAGTTGCAACTTTTTTCTTAAAAAAACCCAACAAAACTGGAGAAATGCTGTCTTTGTAGAAAAGTACAAGGCTCTACAAGAACAGCCAAAGGAAAAGTGGGTCTTTGGAACAAATCATAATATTTTAAGGCATGTTATAAGAAACTTTCAAATACTATAATTGGTAATCCTATCAGGGTACAAATGAAACAGTGACCCAAGACCAGTGATTCCTGCAGGGTGGCCATGCAGCCGCCGTGTGGCTCACCCACCTCCATTTCTGCTACCCCTATAACTTGAAAAATCTGTCGAGTGCAACTGTCATTGATTCAAGCTCCACTATCTTCACATTAGTGGAAATACAAATAGTGCATAACTACTTCCTCAGAACTATACAATGAAAAACGACACTTACACTTTGCCCCCTCAGCCAAGTTGCATGGTAGCTTACATATGGCCTATGCTCTTGAAAATGTGAATGTAATGAAGAAACAAAAGTGGGAGATATTTTAATATTTTCTGTTAAAAAATTAATGTGCAATTTTTCCTATATTTAAAGCCCATCTGCTTTATATTATGAACTTCATATTAGGCTGTTCATACTCCATGCCATTTTCTTGGTTGATGAACAATCTGTGAGGTAAGATTTTTAACATCTCTGTAAATAACCTCACATAACATGCACTTCCAACTCAGTTTGAAACTTGGCTTTGGTTTGTTTTCTGGGGTTTGTTTTTTGTAGTTTTTCTTTTTTGAGTGCTTGCGCAGTGGATCGCACACTGACAAGCTGTTTTACGGATGGATTGTGCTGCTTGATTAACCGTTTCCCAATCTAGATATGTGAAACCCTGAAATATTGTTAATCCAACATCTCACATCTTGTTTAAGCATGGCAGCTGACACAATGGGCAGGCAGGGGGTGGTAAGAGAACATTCATACCATCTAGTTTAGGCATGTGAGTCGTGTGACTTGGAGGACTAAAGTTAAAAGCCTAAGTTTGCTATACAGTCAATGGAAAGAGGTAGGTGCCTCTAGGAGGGCGATTCAGAGCACCCAAAATGGGCATTCAGATGCCAGAAATAAACGGTGTGCCTATCTCCCTAAGAGAACAAAGTACAGTAACAAAAGCTCTGCAAAGTAGATGGGAAATGGGCTACATTTACTTTCTAGTAAGGCTTAATGTTCTGTGACATCTAATGCCCTTTGTCACACTGGTTGTGGAAAGGTCTTGAAAGATTAAGGGCAGAGTTGGCCAGTTCTCTTCTGTGAATATGATTTTCTTTAGTTATCATCCAGTGAACTATAATTCAAAATGTTAAGGATATTTATGTTATGGAAATCTGCAAAGTGTTTTCTACTCCAGTGTCCTTTGTGGCAGATGAGAGCGCTTTTAGGAAGTTCTGCAGATGGAGGCAAAACTCTCGAACCTAACTCCAATTACAGCATTTCTAAGGGCCATATACACACACACATACACACTCAACATACACACACACACAGCCCAGCACCCCTATTTTCACTCATTTAAACACAAGGAACTACACTGTTACTGCACAAGATTTAAAAACTAATAAACGCATGGTGTTATTTAGACCACAGGCTCAGTGACTGTATTTTTATGGCCAATTTTACCTATAAAAGATCCAGCTCAAGACAATCTCTCCAGCATTTAAAATCTAAACATTGCGATTGAAAACTTTTCTATACTTTGATTGTAAGACTTTGAAATAGGTATTTCTGTGCCATTAGTCATGCAAATGATAAATACTTCACTGCTATGAAACTAGCAAGTCAGAGCTCGAGCATCCTTTCCAAATAAAATATTTGCTCCCACCATTAAACACTCCAATAATTGGGGCAACCTTTGAGTAGTGTGTCAGGCAATTAAAGAGCCATGTCCACACTCACCTAAGGAATTACAACCGTAACTATTTCACCTCTGAACCAAATGATTTCACATGGTTATTCAATTTAAGTTTTCAACATTAAAGCTATCAAATAGCAAACTGGATTTTCAAAGGTTAGTTTGGGATCACACCAGAGAATGTGGCCCTTAAAGGCAAGAAGAACTGTTGTCTTTAACAAACTTAAAAATGCAGGATGTTCATACTGTCCCACGAGGTTTCTGCAGAAGGGAACATATGGATGAAACATGGCTTAATTTTCCTTACAAGATGGTACTAGTTAATCTATTAAAGTGTTCCTTGTTAGTAAGGCTCAGCAATTTTTTTTTTTCATCACAGTTGCTTCCTCCTGGTTCAGTAAAGTGAAAATAAAGATGCTTCCTGCTTTGTAAACAGAGGGTTTGTTTGGCTTTCTGTAGACCAAAACCTGAAGCGATCCTCCATTTTTGAGCAGCAAAATGAAAGATTTAAAACATTCCAATGCCAGACTGTTCACCCGTCACTTGTTTCCAGATCTTGCCTCTCATTTCACACACTGATTCAATGTTTTGTATTTCAAGATGTGGGATAAAGTGTAGAAATAATAGCATTGATTTTGAAAAGAATCCAAACTATATGGGTCTCTGGTAGCCTTTTCCTCCAACACTGTCAGAAGTTCTGGTGAAATCAACATAACTGACTGAACAAACTCAGCCGCATGTGATAGTGCCCATTCTGAAGCGTGGTAACCAGACACCAAAAGACTTGGCTCTCCTTTTTGTGGTTATGCTTGTCATGAAAGGTCTTCAGAGATATCCTCTCCACTGCTTTCATCTCCCGTTTCCAAAAGGATTCTGTCCTCTTCGGAAATAGTTGCTGTTGTTGCTGTCTGACGTGACAACACACGTACGTTCGACTGGAACGACCCTGTAGATCAACTGACTGTGCCATAAAATTGCAGGTGCTCAAAGGGAAAAAACGGGTGAGATGTGGTCATTCAACCCAATTATATTCAGAGTCAGTGATTGACTTCCAATGCTCAGCTCTGAGTTAATGTTGCTACTTCACTACAGATGTATTTCAAGTGACCCACAAACCAGGAAGTGAAGTAGACAGTTTTACCACCTTACAAAATTTCTGCAAATTAAGTCCAGGTTAGGTCATTTTTAATGCTATTGTATATTACATGCAGAACAGCATGGATCATCTTTGTCTGGCTGTGCTGCATAGTTCATTTGTCTAACAATTTCCGCAAAGAGCTCATCCACCATTGTTTTACTTTTAGCAGAGGTCTCCATAAAGGGGCAGCCCCATTCTTCAGCTAAGGCTCTGCCTTCACTCAGTGATACTTCTCTCTCACTTTCCAGGTCCACTTTATTACCAACCAGAATTACAGGCACCTTCTCATACCTACAGTTTAAAAACAAAAACAACAATTATATTTAAAAAAATGGAAATATTCTTAGAGTAAAAAAAAAAAAGAAAAAAAATCTATTTGCAAACAGTACAGACCAACAGGAAAGAGACATTTGAATGATCTTAAAATTTTACGTTTGAAAAAAATGTGTATTTCACATCCTAGTAATTTGTTGTACATCTTGTTCCCCTCAGAGTTTTCAGAATTCTACAAAAATCTTCCTCCTCTGAATTTTCCTTCCCTCTAGGATATATGCCAGGAATACTTTCATACTACAAAAATGAGGAATATAATACTATTTTCTCTGTTTGCTATCTCCATGTGTAAGAACCCTCCCTTCAACACTACATCCTCCTACTCCCTGAACAGGCATTTTGTGTCTCCTGCTTGGGGTAACGGTGCAACACTCCCTTTCAAGAGTACACTTATCTGTGGTCAATACACACAGAACTCTCTGAATAGCAATAAATGAGACAAAACCAAAGGGCCAGATAATTAATTCCAAATTTCAGGACATGTAGTCAGCTTCAAGTACTGCATACACACAGAAGAACTGTTACATAAAAACACATATTAGATAATACAGAATGCCTATGTCTCCCTTGCAGTATTCACATCGTTAGGCCAGTTAAACAAGTTGAAGAGACAAATAAAAAATCACAGTTAAGTTCCAGGCAATACTACCACAGTTCTCTTCAAAATCAACTTGGACAGCACAACAGATCATATAGCTGTGAAGGAATTTGTTACTTTGCCCCTCCTTGTGAAGGGATTCTTGCCAAATTTTTTACAAAATGGAAATGCTTGCCGTTTTTTTTTTCCATCCTCACATTCATAAACCTTTCTTCAGACATCAAACTAAGTGTTTCATCAGGTTTTAAATTTACATATTTGCCATAGAAAAGAAAAGAGAGAAGAAAACACTGGGCCTATTTCCAAAATACTCTTACACAGGTTTTTTTTCACAAAAGCAACTAGGACTGAGAGAAAAAACAGTTCTGACTTTTTAGCACTTAAAACAGACCTAAGAGGAACAAGATGGTACCTTCTTAACTTAAGCCTTATTTTCTCCTTTATATTATCCTAGTAGTATTGCTTTGAGTCAAGTCACTGGAGTAAGACTGAATTGTGGACAGACAAAAGATGCAGCTGACACCTGCAGCAGTTGAAGACAACACCCTCCCTAAGCCACCTATTACACCTTCTTCATCCCTCCCACTCTTCCCCTCTGCCTGCCAGGCAAGGCAGCAGAGCAGTGCTGGTGCATCTGCCTCATCTGGTTGAGGGAAACAGCCTGTTTCCCTGTCTGTAACCACTCTGCACTAGAGCAGGTAACCTGTGTGTTCCTGCTGCCTCTGCTGCAGGGACAGTGGGCTCCCCCACAGTCCGAAAGGATAAAAGGCCAATAATGTCTCAAATACATCAGCAAATCTTACATCACCAGACTAGTATAAAAAATTTGTCCAAATATGTCCTAAGATGTAGCTGAAATGCTAAACTTTGTTATGCCTCTGTTTACTAAGGGAATGTCATTTAATCCACAGTCCAAGGCTGTCATCAATAATTGTAGAGAATTCCCCTCACTTTTACCATTTCTCCTGCCTTCATTTACCATCTGAAGAGACATAATCCATGTCTTACTCCGTGGATATACACTGTTTAGCACAATGATATCTTTGGAACCCTTGCAAGAGCTAAGCTGCCATTAATTAAGTACCAAAATACACACAAGCATCTTGAAATCTGTCCTCCTGCATTTAAACACAGGATAGCATAGTCTTTAATTACATAAGATGGATGGCATTCAACAGATAAGAAGAAATATTGAATTGCATGTGTCCTATTGTATTTTCTATACAGCATTAAAAAAATCCTTCCATGGAAACAGAATCAGGTACCCCTTCACTGCACTTCTTGATTTCTGAGGGGCCCAAACTTCCCCTCACTCTCCCCATTGGCTTACCCTCTGGTAAAACTGAGAAATTCCAAGCAGGTGCTTGAGAAGTGCCCAGTGAAGAAATAGATGAGCCAGAATTACAGGACCACCTCTCTGAGTTTTGTGAGATCACTTCAATTTGTTGAGAAACATATAAGAAAATGCATACACACTTGTTAAAGGCTTATAGTCAGTTCCACTGAAAAGTTCAAGTGCTTAAAAGGTTTAGGAACCCTAGGAAATCTGGGCAACTAAATAACTGACAGTCTGTATGCTATGAGTACTCAGCACCTGGGAAATGGAGCAGTGGAAACCCTGATGTTTTGTACTGAAGAACAGAAAGAACTGATGAGCTGACAGAAAAGATGTGAAAAGCCTAATTTAATTTATTTGCACAGGACCATGTAGGAACTATTAGGTGGAACAGATAGAAGCAATTTTCTGTATTGCTTTTCCTGTTGCATTTATCCGATTCACTACCTACCATCACCACCTAAAATGAGATCCTACAGTCAATAGCCTTATTCACCTTATAACTCAGATTCACCCAATAACTGATAACTTTACAATACTGAAATGTGTTAGAAAGTGTTTCTGCAAAGCTCTCATTATGTCTTCTTACCAGAAATAAAGTTGCTCCTGTGGAATACATCCCTGTACTACCTAGATTTTCAGTAGTTAACTTCACAGAAAAAATACATTTTGTGTATATATATACATATTCTGTGTGACATATATTTTAGATTTTTATATATACTTATGCCTGTCCATAATAAATACACACAATTCATATCTTTCTACATAGAAAAGTCAGTGTCTACTACCTAGAATACAGCAAATAATGGAAAACCAGTCCATGGATACTGAGTGGAAGACCGGCTCTAGTGTGAGCTGGACTTATGAGCTCCAGCTCAGTATCAGTCCTGCCAGACTCAAGCTAAGTAGAGGGAGTTAGACCAGACTTCTGTGTATCATATTCCCCAAGCACCATGAGGATGATGAACTGTTTGTCTTCATTCAGAGTCCTAAGGGTCTCTGCACTTTCTGGTTTTTGAGTTCTGGCAACACTGTGGAAAATCTAGCTCTTGACTAAATCAATCTCTACAAGCTCTGCAAGTTCAAGCTAGCTCTGCACCCTTTACCTCTCAACACTGCCAGAATTTCCTGTCTCCCTTAGTATCCCAGGCAATTTTTTTCTGATGAGTATAGGGGAGATCTCTGGCTCAATACTCTCCTTACTACAGCTGCTGATCTCACTGGAGGCAACTTCTGTCTGCATCTGGAGACTCCACTTGATACTCAGAGCCATGACCACTCAGATGGTGTATGTTAGCACAGGACCACCAAGGGAAAGCCAGTTACTCAGATGTGGGGGAATTACATGATTCTAATAAAATTTGAAGGGAAGAAGAACATCTCTTCCTCACAGGCTTTTCACCCTGTTGAATTTCAATGGCCCAAGAGAAAAATAGGTTCCTAACAAAGGAAAAGACAAATAAACAAAAAGAGATCCGCCTTGCAATGTCCAAGCAGCAATGCAGAACCCTTACGTACAACCACAAAAATCAAACTTAGGAATTCACAAATCCTTCCTCTAGTAGGATCTATCTTACTCACAACTACTTTTAGCAGAGCAAAAGAGGCTAAAACCCCATCACCTATACTGAAGCTCTGAATCCAGGCTGCTGTTCCCACCACAGGATCTGAGAGAGAGCAGCTCAGCCCACAGTGGGAGCTGGGTAGAAGTTTCGCCTTTTGCTGCAGCCCATCTGCCCCTGCCTGTCCCCTTAGCAATGGAAAAGTGGCACAGTTCTGCTCATTTCTGGAGCACGAAAATCCAATTTTCTCAGTATGGCTGAAAAGCTTTGAGCAGCATTGATCATTCCTAATGAAAAGCACGAGGGCCACCTGAAAATAAGAATTGCTGCCACTTTTGTCAGTATCAAAGCAGCACAGTATGTATTCTAGGGCAAATATAGCAGACCCTGTAAGAAACACTCTCAAATGGAGCAAGGGAAGGCTTGACTTTTTAAGACCTCTTCAGGAACAAATTTTTGCAAGACCAATTACATGTGTTTGCAGAACATGATTAAAGAACAAGGCACTTCACCCTGTTTTAATGATCTCACTATCTTTAGCTCCACTATGACAGATACTGAGCAGCGGCAACTCTTGAAGAGATAACAGGACTGCAGTCATTTATAGCCCTATGAAAGACACCGGTGCAGAGTCAAATGCCATCATATCTAGGGTTTCCACTACTGCCAAGGTACAGTCATTGCGCCATAAAAGACATTCAGAATGTATTTCCCAGTTCTAGATAAATTCAGTACTAAAACCCACCCTGTTACCCATCTTTAATGAACACCTGGGACCAATAGTTTACAATAAATCTCAATTTTCATGAGGATGGACACCACAGCCACATGAAATCAATAAATACACAAACTTCAAATGTTTTATGTGGCTCAGTTATACACCATTGACCACACAACCTTATATGTCACACGGCAATAAATATTTCTGTATTTTATCTTACCTCACAAGGCACACACATCATCCACATTTCTGTTTAGATTACAATGTACACTTTGAATAAGAGCTTAAAACATTTAGAAAGCTTCAAGGTGAATGGTATGAGAATGATCTTCAGAGACTTTTTCCTCACAGCTTTTCTACCTCAAATCATACCCAGAAAAACATAGGCAGTACCTGACTTCTTTTACAAGGTACTTCTCAGATTTCTGGGTAGAATTGTCATTGGATAAAGATAAAACAAAGACAATGTGCAGTGAAAATATAATAAAAATGAAGATTGAAACAGCAAGAATCAAAAAAATAACCACACCAAAAAACCCCAAATAAGGCTAATAAAATGATCTGATTCCCTTAGACAGTGATAGAGATTGCCCAGAACCCCTACACTCTGTGTGTATGTGTGGGTGAGTTGTACTTGTCAGGAGACAAAAAGGTACAAACAGGTTCCTGTTTTCCCGTTTCACATTCTGGAAGTGGTGTCTCTTTTCTAGGATTTTTTTCCTGTGCTTCATATCAGAC